TGGATCTTAGAGAGATAGGATGGGATGGTATGGATTAGATTGATCTGGTTCAGTATAGGGACCAGTTGAGGGCTCTTGTGAACGCGGTAATGAATCTTCGGGTTCCATAAAATGCTGGGAAATTCTTGAGTAGCTGCAGATTTGACTTCTTCTCAAGAAGGGCTCAGCTCCATAAGTAAGTATGTGAGTGGTGCTAAGGTATATGTACCACCTGCTTTAACACACTAAACTCTGCCCGCAGCCTGTGTTTATGTGTTCCGTGTGGTTCTCACAATAAACAGACATCGTTTCCTTCATCGGCTGTCTTTTGTGATGGAGAAGTAATGTGTTTCCTATGAGGTAGGAACTGAGAATTTATATATTATATAGAAGATAGATCCTTTTTGTAATAAACTATTTAAACTTGCAATGAACTTTCCCATTTCCCCTATCACCACACCCTTCTCATACAAATGACTGTCGCGTTTGAATTGCCGAAATCAGCCTTTAAATGGTTAATTTCGACAAATAATGTACAGTGAGGGTCTGCACCAGCAGCTGTCTGATTTTGTTTGAAATAGGATCAGTACCTCTACTTCACACAAAGCCCAAATCGAGCTTTATCAGTTTTGCTCAAAAATGGAGCATCGTATGTACGACCGTTATAACAAAATATAGACCCCACTGAAATTTAAAACTTTCATTTGTATAATGTTTCCATATTATGAGTATTTAATAAAACAGGGCTAAAAATGGTTTCTGGTTGTGCAGTACACGCTCAGTCAGTGAAGTGACTTGGTATGACCTTATTTATCATAATTCTGTCCCATGAAAGGATTTAGTTCCTTATTGGCCATCAAAGCAGACCGGCTCTGGAGCTCAAACAAATTCCTGTTCATTGAGTGTTGCGCTAAAACAGCCTGAGTATGAAACTGACTATTTGCCTGAATCTAGTGTCGAGGTTAAGAGGTGTTTACATTTTCCTCCACTCACATACAGAGGGTCCGGATTGAAGGTATCCAAAATAAAATCATTATATCTCAGAAAGAATTCGTTATACACATTAATGGGTTACCCCATCACAAAAGGAAACTATCAAAGTTTTTTTTTCTGCGTATATAACTTTCTCAGTAAATTTAAATGTGGGCTCCCTTGGTGGCAGGACAAATATCCATACTTGAAGCATGTTTGGTGTTACCGTAGCCACAGCGTCCCTTATGCGGGCTTTCAGGTGTTGAAGGTCGCAGACAATGTTCTTCACATAACCCCACAAGAAAGAATCCACTGTGGTTAAGTCTGGCGACATAGGAAGCCAAGCGATTAGTCCACTTCTGTCGATCCATCTCCCAGCTATCTCTCTCTGTCCAGGTGATTCCTAATATGGAAGCAGAAATGTGGCGGCGCTTGCGCGTAAGCCGGGCATGAAAAACTTTCAGAGTTTCCCTTTCCGATAAACCGGATACGTGTATGACAATTAGTTTCCGAGATATACATTTTTTATTTTGGATACGTTTCATCCGGACACTCTTTATATATATTCATGGTGCGGTGCTTAAACGCAGCTACAGCTCTTTACTTTATGCCTTTTGTCTTTACCTGTAGTGTAGGTCTGTATCTGCAGTTACTGAACTTCAGCTTGGATGAGATATGTCGGTTACTGGTCTATGCTGATGGTCCTTACATATAAAGTGTAACTAAAAGGGATGCGGACAGATTTTTAATAAAGTGTAACTAAAAGGGATGCGGACAGATTTTTAGGAGCGAGTTCCACGTACCAAACAAGAAGAAATGCCCATATCAGTATATGTCTGAAAACATTTAGGTTGTGAGTTACAGCTGAAAGAATATTGTATAGAAACCAAGAGCAGTTCAGCGTCAATGCGTGGGCAGGTATTGTTAGTAACTTTTTGGTATGCCCACATATTTTGCCAAATAGGCTTACAGGCAAACCCTACCTAGATTTTTCTCTTACATGATCTTTCAGATCTACTGGAAGATGTACCACTGACGGTCAGAGCATGCATATGGTACATACAGGATACTGCTCCACACATTTTAGCCGTGGTGTGAGAGATATTCTCGATAACATCTATAATGACTGATCGATAGGTAGGGGAGGACCCACTGCATGGACTCAACCCTCGACACTTTCGATCCTCTGGACTTTTGTCTGTGGGACACATAAATTCCCTGTGTATGCAGCTCCTATTTACAACGAAGAGGCACTTCACTATTGTAGATGCCTGTCAGAATATCCACAACTACCCTGACGATTTTGAACGAATGAGGCAGTCCATGGTAAGACGTGTCGAGGAGTTCCTTGAATCTCATGGAGGATATTATGAGCACTTATTATAAATGAACTGTATCAACTAATGTTTCTGAGCACATGTTGATATGGATTTCTTTTCCTTTTATGTACTCGTATGAGGAACTCCTGCACAAGATTTGTCTGCACCTTTCAGTTATATTCTGCATAAAAGCATAATTCTTGACCTTCTGTCTTTATGTATTTTAGTTGCTAGTAGCACGAATAGGCACAGGAAATATCAACAGGCAGCCGCAGGTGAACGTATGTTTGTGTCGGTATTGCAGTGTCTGTCTTTGCTGAACAATTACTAATTATATCCCTAGATAGCAGCACAACTTTTTCATTGCCGTGTTGTTATTCTGCGAGTCTTATTATCGTAACCTAGTACAAGTGTAGCTGTCTTTCCACTGGCCGCGCCATAACTGAAGCGGTTAGTTGCTGGCTTCCCACTGCAGCAGCCCGGGTTCAATCCCGGGTCTGGTCAAGTGGGATTTGTGGTGGACAAAGTGGCGCTGGTGCAGGTTTTCTCCGAGTACTTCGGTTTCCCTTGCCAATCTTCATTCCACCAATTGCTCCACAAGCACCTTCACCTATTGTCTGGGGCTGGTACCATAGGCCTCTTTTTACTTTTCTGTCATTATTAATATAAATAAATTTGATGCATTGATTTAAAATGCATATCAGAAATCTCCCAGTAATCCTCTTGATACTGATACTAGATACAAATGTGTTATTAAGCCTAGAGGTGTCCTTGCCTTAATTAAATGTTGTCAGGGAGGCGCTAGAGTTCGCACACCGGCAACTTGGTCTCGCCGAAGAGGCCGACAGTCCGAACCTGCGAGCAGAGGCATACCTCAACTTGGCACGGGCACACGAACGCTTGGGTGGCCTGGAGCGTGCACTTGCATATGCTCGCCACTCCCTCTATAACGAGTGTGATCAGTGTCGGACAGCAGGGCATGTGCATCTCACAGTGGGCAGTGTCTACTTGGAGCTGGCCGGCTTCTGCAAGGCGTTAGAGGCCTTTCAACATGCCCACAAGATTGCTCAAGGAATTCAGGATCCTGCCCTGGAACTTCAGGTGATAACCAGATTCATTCTATTGTATTCATGCCTCAGATGAAACTGCTTTCTTTGGACCTGAATATGGGGTGTGAATGTTGGTGTTTGACACTGCCAAAAACATTTTGTCATTAGCGAGTTAAGGTAACTGGGGAATATAGAAAGATACATACTATTTTCCCTTGTCTCTTCTCTTAAGGGTGTTTGCTGCTCAGTTGTCCACCCCATCCATCTTACAGATATGCCAATGTTAGATCTCTTGGTAGACAAAAGTATTCATTTCCTCAGCACTTTGTTTTGTCTTTCTTCCATGCAGATAAATATCGAAATGGCAGAGTTTTCCTAAGGCAACAGATTGCTTCAGTTTTCTGTAACCTCCTTATCCTTCACAGATAAGTCTATCTATATTTGATTGTCAGAATTTTCTGTCTTCGCTGCTTTATATCTCTGTCTCTTACATTTCTCTTCAGAAAATGGGCTGAACATGGAGTTGTCAGAATCTTCAGAAGAGAATAAGAATAGTCCTTCCTTTTCTCTTCAGTTCTGCAGAGCAAATTTTCAGAATTCTTTGAGGACTGAATGTAGTTCAAAAAATGTTATCACTACAGTTGCCTTTTCCTTTCCTCCTGAGTGTGTGCATGAACATGTGCATGATTTCTTAGCAGTTGGCTGGGTTCAGAAGGAGTTTTCGGTGTTTAATTTTCTGCCTTATATGTGCTCATTGGACTTTTCCAAATTCCAGAAAGCATAACTGCTACCATTGTCCTCTTGTACATTGATTCTCATCATGACAGACCAAAGGGAAGTTCAAGGATGAATCAGAAATTTATTTCAATATGAACAGTGAACGTGACTATATAAGACAGATGTTCATGTGATAGACAGTATGTGGCAGCAGCTGCATGAAAATTCACAGCAGCTGGTTAAAATGGTACTACCGTTGCAGGAGTGGTTATTCCTGGAAGTTTAATCAGTGATTCTATTTTTCCAAAGGGTTTTCTTGAGGATAAGTTCATCAAGAGTTTGTCGTGTATGATGTAAAGGCCATGACATTCCAGGGAGTCAAAAACTGGTGCCCTGATTTTGAAAGAGGTCTGAGAATTATCAAAGGTCCTTCACTGTCAGGCAAGCAATATGAAACATGGATAAAGAGAACAGAGTGTTGATGCGGTTATTCTTTATACAGACTGATGAGTGAAGCCACTAGAACTATTTGGGAATTTCATATGGTCTCATCTTCGAAAGCATGCAATTTCCCAAATAAACAAGAAAGTCAAGGCAATATTGACTGAAAATAAGAACATGCTTAACATCTTTTGGGACATTGAAGGGGTATTCCTTATCATCTTCCTTGAGCACAGGGCCACCATAATCTTGGTCCCTACTGTATAACACTTATGAAACTGGAAGATAATATCACAAGGAAATGCCCCAATCCCCTCCCAGATGGAACAATCTTGCTTCATGACAATGCTCTCCAACATGCATCTCTCCAGACAGTGAACTGCCTGCAGAAGTTTGGTTGGGAGGTTCTGCCTGATTCACCAGAAAGTCCAGATTTGGCCTCCAGAGACTACTTTCTGTTTGGACCATTGAAAACATCTTGCTAGCTGCTGAATCAAATCAAATTTGGTCATTATGTAAGCAACATTGGCTTTGATCTAGGCACTAGGCAGTGCCTAGATACTTCTTCCAAGACAGTGTCAATAAAATTGTATATGGTGGCAGGAGAAATATCTCATTTCTACAGTACGGATTATTAACTTGATTGCATAATATTTTAGTTTTACATATGATCTGTGAAAAATAAATTTATGGAAATAACTTTTTGATTTGCCCTTATATTTTATTGCAGTAGGGCTACAATCTCTTCAATGATTGTCCTTTCCTTGGTAGTAGTAACAAACTGTTTCACGCACTGCAGCAAGCTTACATGATGATTTCATGTGTAAACTTCAACCCATTCCTGCACATGCTCATATGTAATATTCTCATTACATTCTAATCATTTTGCATACATTTATAAATTTCTTCCTCACTGTGGAACTTCTGGCATATGATCATGTGATACTGCATAATGTAAACAAAAGCAAAATTGTAAAGGAATGGCTAATTTGAGGGAAAATCCTGCAGGTATATGTTGGGCTGTCTGAGCTGTTCGGGAGACTACAGGATGCTGATAAGAGTGCTCGCTATGCAGCAAAAGCATATGACTTGTCAAGAAGTTTGCAACTGGGTGACCTGAATTCCCGCCACCACCGAGCCGCTCTGCTGCAAATGGCATCAGCGCTACGCAAACAGGGAGAGCTGGGGGATGCACATGACTACTGTAGTGTAAGTAACGTGTGAAACTGAATTTCTGTGACAGAGTGACACACGAACTAGCAGAGACCAATGAATAGCTGAAAAATACTCCTGTGAACCATACTGCGACCCTAGTCAGGTAGGAGCTCTGAGGAAAAAAAAGGAAGGTCTGCCGAAGATGGAATATTCCTTTATGTCTGGAATTAAAATCAGATCCATTCATAAATACTGCTACAACTTCCATTCTTCCACTCCTGGACTCCTGAAACTCCTGCAGTAGAACTATTTTACATTTCCAAAATTGATTCTCCACCTTGCTTTACTTTCAGTATTGTTTGTTACCAACACTGTGATAGAATTCTTGCCATCTTTATGTATCTATAAAGAAAAGATACTCTTTACCACTTGTTTTCATTTCGTACTTTCTTTCTATTGTTAGTGGGGTGGGACTAAGTCCCTTGTACTGCGGCCACTTCTGGCCTATTGTACCAGCCCCAGATGATAGGTGAGGGTGATTGTGGAGCAATTGGTGGAATGAAGATTGACAACGGAAACCGAAGTACTCGGAGAAAACCTGCCCCAGCACCACTTTGTTCACCACAGATCCCACTTGACCAGACCCAGGATATTTTCATTCATTTTAAGGATACTGTGAATTATGGATAGATTATAAGTACTGATCATGTCTTAATTTCGTACCTTCCTTAATTGTAATAAAAAACTTGTCTACCTCAACAAGCCAACACCTCCCGGAATTATAAACACTGGAAACACTGTCTCAGGTGATATAGATACATGAAGTAGCAACTAATGCAGAGCTACAGTAATTAAGTTTACAACCCCAAACTAAGCAAAATGTACAAGTAGAAGTGTTATACAGGAATCTCTTCACTTACATGAATATCATGTGAACATTTTTAATGAAGACTAAAAAATATTTAAATGATATCTCTAAAACAAAAGAGAAAATGAATATGATTTGAAACAGCTAAAATTAATGGTATAAATTAGCAATAATTTTGAGTTATGCTACCACATTTGGGAACACAAACACAACTATCACGAAAATTAGGGGATACTTTCACACTGTCCATTCAACCCTCAGATTCTAATTTATTTTAAGAGTGTCAAGGCATAATTTACTGCTTAATAGTTTTGCAGCCACAAAGTTAATAAGATCTAAAATTTTTTGACGATGCTATGTTAATATAATTCTGTTTCTGGACATTATCCATCGCCCTGGTTTTCATTTAAAACCCATTGTTTCAGAGACTGGGTTCTAAATCAGTCTTCAGGTGAAAACCTACTCAGTTGTGCCCAGTCAATAGAGCAAGTCCCTCTCTCCAGATCAGGGATACTCTGATCCAAAAAGTTGTGTTTTAAATAAAATAACAGGATGATGGATAATGTCCAAAAATACAATAATTGCACAATGTTAATATTTGTGCATAAATAGTATAAACTTACAGGCTACAATGGAAATATTTACTGATAAAGGCTAAAAATATTCCCATTGCCCTCTCAACGAGAGTAGATCAAACTGCAACATTTCATTGCTTTCTGCATTTTTTTGGCTATATTCTTTATTGTTGGTTGGTTTCCAATGGCTGCATTTGGGATCATTTAATCCATTTGCTTTTTGCTTCCCAATAGAGAGCACTCAAGTTCTGGAAGCTTTGCCAGGTTTGTTGCTCATTTTGCACTACCCAGGGGACACGTATGACTTAAAGAATGTCACGGACGCGAGCAACTTTGTCCCCCATATTCTTTACTGTTACTTCATTAGTTTTTCAGTAAGTAGACCTAAGTCCCATAGCATTATGATATGAGTTTCATTTCATCATGTCAGTTGCATTTTGTGAGCAGACTTTGAAAAGAATAAAATAAGCCACTGAAAAGGACTCAGATAATTGATTTTCTGTCAATAACCATACTTCTAATTTTACACAGCTTATGTGTATGCACACAAAATTATATGCTGTATAAATGAGAGACATAAGAAGTTCCAGGTGGAATCCATAATGCTTAGAATATTTCTATCTTCTGGGACATAACACCATGTAGGCCACAGAAAATGACCAGTATTTAGGAGAAATATCTCTCCTCCATCTTCAGGGCTGAAGAATAAAATAAACAAGAAATTGACATGAAGCAGGAAGCATGCAAAGCAAGTGGCTTGCAGAAATATGGGATTATATAGACACAGATGAGAACTTGGAAGCCAACCCATCAGTTCCCATCAGCTTTATCAGAGAATAAGAGTGAATCAGTAGGAGTCAAGAGAAGAATTGAACCAAACGAACGCATGGAAGCTCATATGCTTATACAATATTACATCCTGTATTTTTGTTCTGTTCACAAATCCATGCCAGCTCTACTATTTACACCCTCTAGAGAAACTTGCAAGAATGTGGCAGGTGCCTGCTGACATGTTATAACTTTCTGAAAAGAATATCTGTTATTATGAAGACAGAATCTTAGTCCTGTTACTTTCTGATTATCCCCTTTTTTGTGTTATTTTGTTACATTTCCTCTTGTTGATTAAGGAAGCAACACGACTGGCACTGGTGTCTGGGGACCAGGCCACATATGCCAGAAGTATCCGAATCATGGGTGATATCTACCGGAAAAAATCTGAAATAAATGTAAGTATTTTAATAAATCTCACCAGGTAGTTTAGAATATATCGTTATAATCACTAAAGGCTCATGACAACTGTATGTCTGTTCTGCAGTATTCATGCTGGATATTTGTCTTTATCAGGGATGTATTTAACACATAAAAACTTCAGGTTGGCTCAAATCCTGTCTTTATATAATTAGTTGTGATTTTACAGATGGATTATTTGATATTTATTTAATTCTTTTAATTAATAGCAGCAGGCAGGATAAAATCAGAAAATGTATGAATAATAACCCCATATTCTAACCACTAGACACAAGGACAACTTTCAATGGGTTGTGAATTCAATCTAGAACAACTCATTAATTCTGTGGTGGTTAGTCCTCCTGAGCTAATAACTAATAAAGAAAAAGGGCTAATAGCTGCTTAGTTTCTCCAATTTCATGGCACTCTGCAACTACTGTCCTTGTTATTTGTATGGATGGGTTGAGATGTAGTACAGGTGTCCCAGTAGTGGACAGTAAGTGAAGACATCTTTACTATTCTAATGTAAACAGTCCCCCCCACCCCAAAAGAGAACTTTTTAAGAATCTATTACTACCTTGGTTAAAACATATACTATTCAAAGAGTCAAAAGGCAAAATTAAATGGCCCCCAACTGAAGTGGCAGCATTCTGCTACAAATACTGATAGTTAACTGAAGTTGAAAAACTAGTGAAGAAGAAGCTTGGAAATTATGGGAGTGAAATATGCAGCCATAACTGCAGAAAGCAATTCATGCAAATAGTTTCCATGCAAACAGCAAACCGCAGTGATACAGAATGTTAAGTTAAGACTTATACAATCATTGCCCTGTAGAACAGTTGAGATTTATTTATCGACATAATTTTAAATTTTATGTGAATTACACTGTTCATTAGTCATAAAATAAACATTGTGCTCATATTAAATGAGAAATAAAACAGTTTTCATCAGACATACATTCATAGTTTATCTACATTCAAAAATATTTCTGTAAAATCAAAGAGGTGTACAAAGTACAAGACATGTGTGCTCCAGCAAAATTTCGAGGCATGTCTGCTTAAAGATTTAGTACCACACCATGAACGCCTATAAGGGAATGGAAATATTGCTCCACACATTCTTAACTTTGACACTAGATGGAAATGAATGGTCAGGATCAAACCTTGGACAAGAGGCTGAGTAGGCCCAGAGCCTACATGGACAACGTGATGAAGAGAAAATCTCTGTCCCCATGTGGAACTAAGCAATAATTATCAGTCATGCTGACTGAGGCACAATAAAATTGTTGGTATTATTGATGGTGGTAAGCTGAAAATTGCAAAGGTACCATCTAGCAGCATGAACATCAAGCAGAATTTAATGAATATCAGTTGATTGGCTCAGCAAATATTATTAAAGAGGACAGATATGTGGACGATGAAAAGGAGTTGCAAATTTGCTCAGAACTTTCTTGTGGCGTATTCCAGAAAGCGTACCGGCAGTATGAGAGTGCAATGGGATCAGCAGCAGGAATGGGTGACAGACTCTGTCAGATGGAGGCTATGGATGGAGCTGCAAGATGTCTAGAGGCACTAAGACTGCAACAGAAGATATGCAATTGCCGCCCTCTGGAATTCAACACCAGGCTTCTAGAGGTTGCTAGTTCTGTAGGGGCTAAGGTTAGTAGCATGGAAGAGTTAACCCATTGAATTTCATTTTAGGTGGGAATGAATGAGGATGACTGATTAAGGAAGGTTCTATTCAATTCACATAAATGGTTGTTGTTAATAGAAATCTATTTCCTTCAATCACAAAGTGGTTTCTTTTGTATGTAAATTGTGGAAGTATTATGTTAATCCAGTCATTCATGTGAATCAGAGTAATCTCACCTAATCCAGGTTACAGCATCTGCCTTGTATTCAAAATGCACCTTGTTCAAACCTCAGCTTCAAATGGCTCTTCAAGCTGAGGATTTCCATTGCTTTCCTCATATACTCCAAGTAAAATATTGTCTACATTATTCACTTTCTCATGCGTACTATGTGTTGTACCCATCTCTTCCTCCTTTATATAATCACCCTAACAGTGCTAGGCAAAAAGTATAAATTATGAAACTCTTCACCATGTAATTTTCCACATTCTTCTGTTACATCTTCTTTCTTGCATCAAGACGTTCTTATGACCACTTGCTTCTTAAACAGTACTGTGGCATGTACAGCTGTTTCTATGCAATAGTCATGTGAAGAAACACATGTTGCTTGGTAATGGTCGGTAGACATGTCAACAATACCTGGGCCATTGCTAGGCAACTGCTCAATAAACAGGTTCCTGCAACACTGGATATGCATGCAATGGTCGAGGTATTTTTGGACTATAACAATGAAATCGGTGTTTTCTTTGTGGTTCATGCCGAGTTATAAGCAAGGTCAGTCAAGTTCCAGAGTTGTCAGCAGTTTAGTTGTGTAAAGTAATGTGAAGTAGCTGGTCAGTGAGTGAGAGAGTTCAGTTGTCAGTTGTCAGTTGTCAGTTAGCCTGTGAAGAGAAGACTAGGAGGTTGGTGTGAAATGGCTGCCAGCCTGGGACCCAGTTAGTTGAGTTGTCACTTGACAAGAGTTCTGCATGTATGGCCATGAAAAGACCTGAGTGCAGGTAGATGAAATATCTCCCTCAGTAAAATCTGTTGCCAGGAAATAGCTAGCGGAGAATGTAATAGACTAGTCTCTGTTTGTCAGTGATCTATAAAGTGTACTTCTGAGTGGTGTATACAAGTAGTCAATAAATTCAATAACCAATCGAACCCCCATCTCTAGTCACTAATACAATTCTTGTACAAGTGATAATATCACTCTATGTTCATTTTTAGAGCTGAAAGCCATGTGGAACCCTTATAAAATTTGTAAACTTCTTATGTTTGTATATTTTAAAATTTAGCTTTTAGACAGGGTATGGGAAGTGCTCTGATTTCATTAGAATTTTCATATGACCAGCTGTTAGTGAGAACAGTTCGAGTCCGCCTGAGCCGCATCTACCAGAGTTTGGGTGATGATGAACAACAAGCAGTACATGAACGGCTGGCACAGTGTTTAGAAGAGGAGCTGGAATTACAGTGTGGTGCCTGCAATTTGCCATTTGGGCTGGATTCTGACAGTTTGGAGGCATTACCTTGTTCGCACATACTCCATGCCAGGTACGTTCTTCTCACTACTACAAATATATTTGTACAAATATTATGTTTTTGGACATTATCTGTCATCCTGTCTTTATCTAAAAACCGTCCTGTTTATTATTCAAAACACAACTGGTCCAGAGATCGGGACTAGCTCTATCAATTGGGCCCAACTGACTAGGTTTTCCCAGAAGATGGAGACAGAATCCAGTCTCCGAAACAGTGTGTTTTAAAAAATAAACAAGACGGTTTTTAGATAAAGACAGGACAATGGATAATGTCCAAAAACATGTCACAATAATATTTGTACTAACATACCATCGTCACACACTTTAAGATCTTTAAGATATTATTTCATTCATTTTTTAATTTAATTTTTCCTAAAATTTCAGTTTCCAGTTGGGCCATTTGATGGGATGTGAACTATGGCCTTGTGTTTTACATTAATTATGGCTATGTCATTGTCAGATAGTGTTGTACCACTCTTGTTCAGCGCAGAGCTCAGGTCACACCAAATGGTTGTACTACCACATTTCTTATAAATTATTGGTTAGAGCCAAACACTGTATTACCATTTGGAAGAACACACATATCAATATTTCCAAAAACTCAGTATTGCCTATGTCTACTATTCGTTACAAAGGCAGCCAAGAAAAATTTAATTGCTTTCTTAAGAGATATATTAGTATAACTTTCCTAAACTTTGATACCGTTATCAGTAAATAATAAATTCTCTGTTTTGTGTACATGCCTTTGATGCTTCCACGAAATAAGTTTTACTGGTGAGACAGATTCCATTGTTATTCAGTATTCAGCAACTAACAGCGGTCTACTGTGCTGAGCAACTTCCTCCCTCTTAACCTAGAGTTTGGGGGGTGATCACTGCCTTTGTATCTGGTTCCATTTTTGTGTTCCCAATGCCCCCTGGGTTGTCCAAGCTTTAAGCATTACTCAAGAAAATTTGGTATATCAATAACAACAACATATTTTATAGCAAAAAACACCAAAAGACTTATAAAGCACAATAATGACCATATCAATAATAACATAATAATAATCTGACTCTTACTGTACAACATTTGCAGACAATAAGAACATTACAAAACTCTGACCATATTTGCATCTTTGGAACATTAACAAACAATTAGCATGTAATAAAACATGACCATATTTATATCTTTGCAGCATTTGCAAACCTGTAACCCTGACTAGCTAGGTCACTTCAGACAGAAAACCCAGAAAAATAATGTAACTCACCACTCAGAATAATACTCTATTTTCACATTGAATACAATCCCAAATGTGTCAACAAACGCCTGAACTTGTACAAAAAAAAAACATAGAAAAACCCTCATTAAGTTTTCAAATTCAATTGTACAAAATAGGGCAGTACAGGCCCAGTCACTTAATAAAATAAGACCCCATCAAAATCCTTGTTTCAGATATTTACCACTGTTTTAGAGGAACAATGGCAATGATCTACAAGAATGCATGGTGTCACAATCCAGAAAACCATAATATTCACAGACACGGCTGTAAGCACCTTACATCCCCCAACACTAAATTTCTTGAAACTGAACCTCTGAAGACAGGCACTGTAAAACATAAAGCAGATATACCTGCATAGAATATATCAAGATTGATTTATTCACTCTTTCTTTGAATGATTGATTCTTACATTATTTAATAATAGTATTTCAACTGTAGGAGGGCACATAGTAGTGTAGTTGCTTGAGGCACTATGCTACAAGCTGGAAGGTCACAGGTTTGAATCCCAATGAGGTGGATTTTTTCAGTTGCACTATGGTTGTGGGGTTAACGGAGCCTCTAATATGAATGAGTACCAGGAATCTTCCTGGGAGGTAAAGGGCAGCTGGCACATAAGGCTGTCAACCTTACAGCCATCTGTGAACCAACTGTCTAGAGAAAATGTGGAAGCCTCGACTTCTCACAACCCTATGGGCCTTCACAGCCTGTTACAGGAATAGCTTTACATTTTACTTTTTCACTTAAACTGTAGGTATTATATTATATCACAGACTACAATGCAAAATATTAGTGATTATATAAGGAAATGGATATTGGTTGTCATGGTCTATATCAAGCTTCTGTGCCAGTATTCATGTGGAGAAATTGAGGAAAAACTTGGTAAACCATCAGGATATCTAGTAACCCAGCCAAGGTTCAAATTATATACCTCCCACTCATGAGTCTAATGCTTCACCACAAAATAAGCTGTAAGGTACCTGAATCACATATATTGCTACACAAACAATGTCTGAATTTCACTCCTTTAATAATGTAAATGTCTGTTTGCACATAATCCAGATGTGCTCATGACATTCTGAAGCGCCGAGACAAAAAGAAGAAACGCATCTGTCCAGATTGTCACCGTTCAGTAAGCTCTCGGCTGTATCTCTACTGTGATGATCCCCACAGCATGAACCAGCATCACTCCACTTTCAGCCTTGCAAGCCTGAGTCTCAGAGCAAGTAGTCTGACACTCAATAGCCATCAAGCAACTTCATCTGTTTAAGGTTGGAACCACTGCCAATGGTATCGAAAATTCAATCTCAGAACTGATAAGCTCATAGTCATGTTACATTTTCTGGAGAGGTGCTTGAATTAAGGGATGCTCCAAGTGTAATCGTATGAGAATGAGTATTCTGATGGGGATACGTATTGTCATACTAAGGATGAAAATGCTTGGTCCATAAAATTCAGTCTAGAGGATGCAGAATAAATTTAAATCATGATATCTGTGAATGTAAGTCCCACATTTTAAGGAAATGCTCACCATATATAGTGTTGTCTTTGTTGTTATGTTTTATGAACATTTATGAATATTATTAATAGTTTCCTAACTTCTCACAATCCAAAAGTGCACATAAATGTGGTCAGTTGTTGAAAACATTACTGTAGGAAAAGTAGCATACATGGTTCTTGTACAAGAAGCAAATATTGCCACAAATAAACCATTTCAACAAAAATTAGAGATACTGGAAGTATTTTCAATCTAACAGAGTGAAAACTGCAATTAGCAATGTAGGTAAACAAAATGTTAGGAGATGAACACACATTGTGTGCTTCCTCTTCTCTCATTTCTGATATCCCTGACATATTTAAACTAAAGTCCTGATCATTTTACTCAACAATTTATTTTCACATGTAAATCTATACAAGATTAATTGAGAAGTGTTATTAGTAAACATGCATATAGCTTTTTTTATTATGTATACTGAACAAAATATATTTGACCATTATGCAGTGCTCATACATTCAATTATTTCATAGTAAAAATTTTATGGTTTTGGAAACATAGAAGAATCTTGCAGAAAACTACCCACAAAGACACTACTGAGAGACTAAAAAGAGCACAGTGGCATAGGCTGTCAGTTATAGCTAGAGACCAGATGTACAAAAACAATTTGGAATGTAGGACAGAGGGACAGTTCTTGATACCTCACTTGGATGGCTGGTACAAGAAATACTGTAAGTGACAGACTCTCTACATACTTCCATTAGACACTGTAATTACTACAACACACATACAGGAATTCTACCTATAACTGACAGTCTGTGGGTGATCCTATTTTTCTCATTGATATATATATTTTTATATAAACAGGAACAATACCACAGCAGAGTTTTATCATTTTTAATGTGTTATATAATCATCAATGTTCATGAATAATTTGATTTTCCAGATCTCTTTATACTATTTCATTACATTCTCATCAGTACATTTGTCTCAGAATATTTACCTGGTTTGACACCAATTTTATCATCTCTGGAGAGATATTAAATTAATATTTTCAAGCTTTCCAACTTCTGTATTGACAGTAATCTGTATGTAGATTTAGGCTCATTTAAACTGTTACTATTTATCCCTTTGTCACGCCAATTAAATCCAAATGCACCTAGTGCAGTAGAAGCCCTTTAAGTATTCATAACCCTGTGAAACCTACTGTATAAGTATGACAGATTTGATGTGTTGTAGAGAACTTCTTGAATAGCTCAGCAATTATAGCTTCTCCAGAAGAACTCCATCTTGGAGTTGGTCAGTCAGTTAGTTACACAACAAAATATTAATTTTATCTTTCATTTAAGTATTCACTTTTAAATACCAAATATAACCAACTGGAAAGCCAATGTTGAAGAAGATGCAAAAATGATAATGGATATAACTTAATATATGCAATGACTCAGTCCCATTAATTCATGAAGAGTTTTTACTAACAGGATATAATCACTTACTTGACTGTTCCATTGGAACAAGGAGCTGTTTCCTACATGCAAAGTCATCCAAAATCAGACACGAACTTCTTTAAAAACAGCCACATGTTTTCGTATTGCACATTGTTTTTTTTAAATTGTAACTTCATATGCATGAATAGATGCATTATGAATCCTGAAATACATGAGTATAAGCAAATATGCTGGCTGTAACTGGCACAAACTTAAAGTGTTCACTTCACCTCTATCTATAACTGTACTCATTAAAACCATTATTAAAGTTACATTTTGTACAGTAATGAATTTAAATCTAGCACTTCCAACATATGAAGCAAAGTGTATAACTTTACTCCTGAATAGAAAAACTCTGAAATTTAGTATACTAAAATATAGAGCTGCATAAGTACTCGTAATATATTTGATAAGCAAGGAACCAGGTTGGAAAAAATTCACACAGTGTCATAAAATCCACTTTGGTACTTGTTGATCATTAAGTAAAAAATATGTAATATGGAAACGTTATATATAACAAACAATAATCTTCTCATTTCCACACAAATTTTGTCTGAAGTAAATATAAAGTTTTTTACTTCAGATTCTCACAGCACTGACTTTGAAGAATCATATCTTCCAGGGTGAATTCCATGTAGTCCAGTGGAAATTCCCTGACATTCCTCAGACATATCAGCGAACTTTTACTTAATTACACAGTTTTAAAGACCAAAAGATAAGTACCCTTGAATATGAAACTCTTTCAGCTGAAGAATCCTGGACAATGATGTACAGAAATTAAGAAATTTTGGGGACTGCAGGAAAAACACTGTAAGAGAATATTTATGAAGACCTTAAACTAAATCAATTGTCCATATTATCCAGTTATAAACAAAACTAAATTTTAGTGATAAAGGATTTGTAGTAAATTAATTCAATCAGTCTGGAGTGCCATTCATTAGGACCAGATTAAGACTTTACAAGACACTAAGCTATGATAATGATGAGGCCCCTATGATGTTCTTTTCAAGTACTGTTGATAAAAAATACATAAACATTAAAAATGTTTATATTAGTAATTTCATGGCAGACCTTTTTCATTATAGAATATACTGTATTACTTCAAATAGAAGATGCCCTGAAATTTAAGATACATCCACTTTTTAAATGTTGCTTTCAGGAAAAAATTAGAAAGGTGCACATTTCTCAAATTTAACAAGAAAAATGTGAGAAATGTGTCTTATATTCAAAGTAATACAGTAATTTAACAAAATCATAAAGAAATATTGTTTCAAAGAAGTACCATATTTTGACAAAAAGCAATGTAAATAAATTACCAAGTAATGTTAATTTATGTGTGAATATGTATGGGTATGTGGAATTGCACAAGTACATTGCTTGGCAAATGTTCCACACCTCTTCTCCACAGGGAGTGAAGCAACCACCTAATTTGTTTTTGATTGTCACGGCTGTTCCTGTTTATGATGTTTCCATCCTTCCAAACTGACTAGATGTAGTTGGCTATTTTTATCTTCCAAGTTTTAGAGAAAAATGTTCTGTTTGACTCGTAGTTGATTTTCTTTCTCAGTATTTGAAGACACTAAGCTCTAACTTATTTAGATTATACAACAACTGGCACTGTCATTCATACATGCTCACAGAGAGCTGGACACAATAATAACCATTTCCACAGTGAATGTGAAATACACCTATGAAGGAAAAGGGATAATTTTTGTGCATTTTCTTAATTATACTGTAAAGGAAGCAATTCTGCATGTAGCATTAATATTCTGACAACATCCATAAATATTCTTTGCCAGTATTATTGATACTTGATTCAACCATTTTTTTTTTCACCAGTAGATAGCTGTATGATGCTATTATTATTTGATCACAGTACTGTGAACACTGGAGAAAGTATTGAAAGCTTTGAAAGTATTAACATCCAGTTTGTTACTAACAAGAGTGATTTTGTCTGCACTGCAGAATTGCAGAATACTGAATTTGCTTAGCTAAAAATTTTGTAGTACTATGTAAGTCCACTGGAAATCAAGAAGAATAGCAACCTTGCCCACTGCAAGAACTGTTACATGATTATATTGCCTGCATTTTAAGTAGAGGTAGCAATTATTCTCTTTCAAATTATATTTTGTAAGGAAAATACTCCAAATATGTAGTTAAAGAATGTATGATAACTTAACATATAATATTTTCTGAAGAAGAGCCTATATGCCTGCCAACAAGGAAAGGCTCATATACATATTCCATCATCCTGTGGAGAATTTGAATATTAACTTGCCATTATTTACCAGTTCTGGAGGAATACTGAATCATGAAGAGAGTGACACAATGGTTTTGCTGTGCATTCTTTGCAAGGACATAAAATGAATTAATAATGAGAACATTATGTGTGTCTGTCTGCCAACCAGATGCTTCATGAAATTATTCATTGCAAGAGAATAAAATTTGTTATTGCCCCTCTGCACCAAAGTTGTCAGGCAGAGGCAGCGGGATCCCCCAAAACACTGGTACCTACTTACCAAACTACATGGAGTAATAACCCAGAGGATTATAATTTGGAAGTGTAATTTTATTGTGTATCAGTATAATTTACATAAAACCCAAATAAAACTATAACTTTTCCCAAAAGCAGTTCATAAAATTAAAATGGGCATATGTTATTAAAATAAAAAAACAGATTATTATAATTTTTGCCTTTTATTTGTAATATGTTTTGTAATATGTCAGAATTACAGGTTCCTCCACTCTTAATTAGCTCTGACACAAATAAACTTGCATTGTACTCTACATTACCTTGGCACTAAATTGTGCCACAAGTTAGTTAAGTTAAAAGTAACAAAGAAATTAATTTCTATCTGCACTAAATGAGACCGTAGAAGACTGAGAATTAATTAAGAACAATTTGGAAAATTCTTGTATTCCATTCCACTCCTCTTAGAGTCATACAAGACCATTGTAATTGTGTCATGAAGCTGTGATTTGTATTCTGACCCTTTGGTTTTATTTAGGTTATAATTAGTGATGGCATTGGTACTACTTCAGTGGGTTCCAACCTCAGATAAGAATCCAAATCACGATCATGAAAATACAAACTTATTTAATACTGAAAAGAATCCAAAAGTATAAACATAAGTCTGACAGTTAGGACATCCTGTCACTGATCAGTTTAGCATGACAATAGAAAGACAGCAATCAGTGGAATATTTCCACTACCCACACAAATGAATGTATGATATTCAGGTTATCTCTCTTCACCCACCTAATGTTTCATCTGCCATTATGTCCCCTTCTCAAACCAAACGATGTATTTAAATGTAATTTGGATGGAAAGTCTACAATGAAATATTGTCATGCATATTTAATATCTGTTCATATTAATCTAATAAAATTCTACTTTATGTAGGACCCTAAATTATTTTTTTCTTGTGAGGTTAATATATGCTAATGGGCCTAGTTCTAATAAATTAAAGAAGAAATTTTTGATAAACTATGCTCTGCACTGCACTAAACTGAACTGGGTTTGCACAAGATCTTTACCATTATTGTTAGATGTATCACCCTTCAAGAAATTTCTAGGAAGAAACTGGATGGCATCAAATTCTGGTGTTTGCTGAGCAGTTTCCAGAATATTTCAGAAAAGGTGATCTCAATATTTTGATTGAATAAGAGGCATATGCGGGCCAGGGAACACAATTTGCCTAGTGCTCACATCTCACTACAATATCATTATGATAGCCATCACCATTACACACCACTGTCACTGCTCTTTTATCATCTCATTGTCTTTGCTATTATTGTAATCACTACTTTCTGTACTTTTATGGCTTTCATAAACATACTGAAGTTGCATTATATAAATTCAGCTTCTTTTTAATAAATGAACTATAGTTGATAGGCATCTTGTAGTAATCCAGTTCATCCACATTTTATGAAATGTATGTTCTGTTTCAGTTAAACCTTCACTTTCAGTTTGACCTTGTAACTTACTACTCTGATATCAAGACATTTAGACGCTTTTCTTCTGTTATCTGCATCTGCTAAAAAAGTATAGGCTATATTTGGAGAGGATAAATTTCTGTAGACCAGGTTTATAAATTCATTAACAACATATTCTTATCAACAAGTAAAATTAGGTGAATTAACAAGAAAAGCAGTTAGTTTAATCATAGTAAGTGGTTTTGTATATATATTTATTTTCCACATTTCACTTTTTTTAATTATACATGTAAGAGAAATTGGAAAAACTTGAAATTAACACAATAATCTCAACTCCTTCACATCAGCAAAACATTCCCAAAAGCGAGCATAAAGAATCTGAGTACAGACTGCCACACTATGCCAGCAAAATTAATTTGTACAATTGAGGTCTAATATAACTACATAAAAACTTTTTTTCTAGCGTATGTAATATAAAGAAAGGATGATCAGCTACAGACCCAGCAACCATTCAAGCAAATCTGGGCCACTGATTGCCTTCCTCTAGGTACAACCTTGCGCTGCATACTCACTTTGCCTACTTAACTTCTCTAATGGATTTTTTACTTTTTTTATTGCTAGTGGGGTGGGACTAAGTCCCTTGTACTGCGACCACTTCTGGCCTATTGTACCAGCCCTGGATGATAGGTGAGGGTGATTGGAGCAATTGGTGGAACGAAGATTGGCAGGAGAAACCGAAGTACTCGGAGAAAACCTGCCCCAGCGCCACTTTGTCCACCACAAATCCCACTTGACCAGACCCGGGATCGAACCCGGGCTGCCGCGGTGGAAAGCCAGCAACTAAACACTTGAGCTATGGCGCGGCTTCTCTAGTGGATGAAATAAGGTAAATTTTTTTCTTAATTCTCTTAGTGGGGGGTGGAGTCCAACTGGGTTCACTCAGCACGGCAGACACTGATTGGCTTACTGTAGCCTGCCCCGGATGATTGTGATGATGGAGAATTTGGTGGCATGAAGATTGACAAGCGAAACCGAAGTACTCAGAGAAAACCCACCCCAGCACCAGTTTGTCCACCACAAATCCCACCTGACCAGACCCGGGATCAAACCCGGGACGCCGCAGTGGATGAAATACGATAAGAGTCACAAAAGCTGTCAACATTTGTGCAGATCTGTAGGTTATTATTCTCTGAAAATATATAGAATAATTAGGATCCAGCACATGGGCAAAAACTGAAATGTTATTAACTGATTCCTAGGCTCAATGTGAGTGGGATGTGTTAATGTGTTTTTCCAAGTGCCTTTATTTTGTCATATTACACGTATTTATCCTTCTGCCAATCCTTCACAGTCAATTATCATTGCCCTTGAGGGGAATGGTGACCACAGCAGCCAGCATATATTGCAGTCTCAGTTTTTAGATAGGACTTTCTTTTCTCACTTCACAGTTGTAGTCAAATTAAGTGGTTTATTTTTGCATCAGGAAGCCAAAAATTACATATTATAAATAATAAGTTTAGAAGAAATCACGACACCTTACTGCTTGGAGATTTTTCATCTCTATTTGTATTTTATGTTGACTTCTAAGTTATCTGACAGAATACATAATTATTTGTTTCTTGAAATTATTATAACTCATTAATACAAGTCCACATGTCTTCTTTTATACCCATACGAATAATGACAAATTTAACTCTGTACAGATTCTCATTTGTATGCCTCATGGAATAAAGAAGTTATTTCTGGTCTCATGTTTATTATTACCTTTATGTGCAACTCTAATATTTGTTATAATATAATGGTTGTGATGTTATTTTAGAGTCACTGTTTTTCTTGATATCTGACAATGCAGATATTAATACATTATAAAAAAACTCTAAGACCATGCCACATTATAAATTGCTACTGTTAAAATAATAACAAGATACAAAATTTTGTGAAACAGCTGATTTCGTATGGGATTCGAGACTCTCAGAGCAGTGACTTTGAAGAGTGCAATTTTCTGGGTTGTAACAGTGTACACTTCAGTTGAAGGCCACTGATATTTCAGAGGAAGACATTGCCCCAGTATTCTGTGTCAGAGACTAAACAATCCATTCATTGCTTGTTTCTTTCTTACTTTATTCTTCGGCCAGAAGATGGAGGCAATGCATTTCTCCAAAGCATTGGTGGATTTTTAATGCATAGTTTTATAACTTATGAAATCATAGTCTTCAGCTAATTGAATATTTTGTATCCAATTTATATTTGTATTTGGAGAATATCATTGCCAGAATAAAATGCAGGACTCTCACATCATAACATAACATAACATAACATAACATAACATAACATAACATTGCACTGCATTCCATGGATCCAAAGTTAGTCAAAATGACTGTAGGATGTGGAATATATCACATAAATATAAAATATATGTACAGTCCCAATGGAGTTCTCACACAAGAGAAACCAAGAATACACAGCGACTACACACAAGTCTATTTAAAGATACATAAGTTATTTTCTTATCAATAGGTATTCATCAACAGAGTAGAATGAGTGTGTATTTAAGTATCATTTCAATGCAAACAGCTTGTTTGCAGTAAACCATTTACTCATTTGCAAATGAACCTTGTTTGATAACATGCAGAAATCATCTAAATTTTTACCAGAAATTATAACACTAGTGTCATCTGCAAATGTTATAGGTATTGATGAGGTCCTTAGTGTAGGAGGGAGGTCGTTTATATAAATTATGAAAAGTCTGAACTTTCAAAACTTGGCATTATAGTCTTTCCAAGTGTTTGCTGTAATCATTATATCAGAATAATCTTCCAATGCAACGATCACAGTGGCTTCACAGTCTAAGGCATAAACTGTCCTCACCCACTCTAACACTGCAATCATGAGTTTGAATCCCACTCAAGGGACGGACGTTTTTGTTTATTCTGTGTTTGTGTTATCCTGTGTAGCTAGCAGCCTTGTGGCAGGCTGGTCCTCTCTTAGTATTTCCTTCTTAACACCTTCATTCAACCTTCCAATGTATGAAGTATTTTGTATATTTCCAGTGCCTGAAGTAGAGAAAGAAGGAAAAAAGTAGGATTTTTTGCAAAAGAACTGTAAGATCTTTTATGTTTATGTAAGACAAGCTAACACGTGTTAGCCTAAAACATATATCACTACTTGGAATTTGTTATGAACTCTGCCTCCTTTCGAGAATTTTGTTATTGTGGTGGTTATGACAACAGATAAACAAGCTGAACTACTTCTGTACAGTTAGTGCAGGAAAGATACTGTATCTACGTATGATTCTGCATCTTGTTTGACTGTCCTGCATATCAATATTTTCTGTTTGTAATTATTTCTAAGAAAGAATAGAAGAGTGCTAGATAAAATAACATTTTAGGTGACAATAAGATGGTCTTGAAATATTAAAAAAAGACACAGGATGTCAATTCTTCTTATCTCATTTCAAGCGCTCTACACAGTCACATCTTGCTTATATGTCTCTTACTAAGAGGGAATGGAGAAATCATGATTCTTAAGTAACAATTGAACCTGATCAAATGTGGAGCAAGACCATTGTTGTAATTCAACTGAAACAAACTTATGATTATCAGTAAAGAATTGGTGAATATGGTGGATTAAACACTGAATATAACTTTTGAATTTAAAGGAAAATATATTATCCATCTCCAACAAACTCAGGGCACAAGTAATAACTTGCATCAGTCAATTCAATTGATTATTTGATGAGAAATAGTCAGTGTTCTGACCAAGACTAAAATGAAGCACCTCTAAGTATTACCTCTTCAGTCAACTTGTTTGGTACATAATGAATTCAGGCAGATATGTTTTCTATTCTAGCGCATAAAATTTGACGAGTTTGAAATTATGGTCCACAGACTGAGAAGTCTGCTCATCCATGGCTTAGAAATAGAAACACTATTACATTTTCTGGACATGTCCCAATTGCATTAGAGTAGCCTCATGCCTACTTGTAGGTCTTTAAAATCAAAGAAAATTTCTAGAACTAGCAGTTCTATAAGCAGAAAGTTATTCATAAAAAAAAATAGTACTCATTCAGTCTTTATGGTAATAGGAATAATAATTGTAACAAATAATGTTTCACTGCAATTTACTAAATTGCTGAAAATAATATTTGCTGCAATTTATTAAACTGATAATTGTGTATACACCAAGCTGCTTTCCTAAAACAATGCTAATACAACTGTGTATCCACACTGGATGTGAAATGTAAACTGTACGAGGTTACTTTTCATGCACAAGAGTAGTTGTTGTGTTGTTTTCATATACTGATTTTATGGATAGCAGAAATAAAAAATTGGAAAGGACTAATGTTTTACATAATACTTTACCTGCGTAGAACTCTGGCTGAATCTTGTGATGAGTTTTTTGTTCTGGGACCTAATCCTTCCAGCCTCACTATGGCCCTGGGGTTGACTCAGCCTCTAAATGAAATAAGTACCAGGAATCTTCATGGGGGTAAAGGGTGGCCGATGCATAAAGCTGACAACTTCACTGCCATCTGTGATTCGATTGTCTAATAAATGTGGGAGCCTTGACACCTCACAACCCTATGAGCCTCCATGCCCTGTTACAGAGATAGCTTTACCTTTTATTGAATTTATTCAGGATTTGCTGGTAACAGTGACACATCCCATAAGAATGGAAAAATTTGATTGAGTGCTACTGAGACATTAATATATTAGGCTTGTATTATAGAATGTACATTAAGATTTTTAAGAAATGTAATATCAGAACAGCAGCATGGTTTTATGAAGAGACAGCCTTGAATGGAATTTTTCAATGACAGTAAATGAATGGCAGGGGCTTTTACATGCTTTTTATATCTTTTACAGATTACACAGAGGTCTCTGACAGGATTAATTGATATAAAATATTGTAATAATAGAATAACATGAAAGGGGCTGGTGAAAACCTCAATGCTATTCTAATGAAGAGATACCCGTTCCCCCCATTAAAAGAAATTCAGGTTTTTCAAAACTTTGTCAGAAGAGCATAAAATTCCCAGAACTGTGAAGAAATGATTATTGATGTCATAATCTAATAACAGGCATTACAGAAACAGTACAGATTTTCCTACTTTATTTACAAATTTTCACTATATCAAAGCGGATTAATGTGTACTTACTTTCACATAACAAACTTCATTTTCACTACAACAAACGACTTACATCCATAAGAATACCTTGTCCCCCATGAAGGCATACATACATAATGATAGGGAGGCGGTAAATTCAAAAAGATGTTTTAGAAGGATGTTTTTTTCTGTAACATTTGTGCACTGCATTCACCATAATTGTTCCTCAACCATTCGGATTATAGCCCACAACTAATCACATTTGAAGTAGGCAAACCTGCCAACAAATTAATACCGTTTAGTATTGTTTATAACACGCCGAAATGCAGTATATATTTGTACTCTTGAAGACGTGCAACTGAGAGGCTCCGTTCATGTGATAATAAAGCTGCATTGTTGTGTTGCATCAGCTATGAGAAAATAAAAGTGAGTAAAATAATAATTTTGTCTGCAACAAGTATAACAAACCAGTAATGCTGTCCTTATTTTAATCCTTCTTCAGAATTAAAACATATGATAAAAATATTGGGGGATATTCTTTGGGACTCATGAACGATTCGGCAAATTTTACATGTAAAGTAAAGGAAATATAATTTTTTATTTAAAAATTTTCACCTTGCAAAGCGTTCATGAAATGAATTACATTTTTAACTCAATAGATAACTGTGTTAGTGATTGGAGAAAAAATCTAAAATACGATTTTTGGAAAGTTGTCAAAATTTCCTAAGCTGTTTCAAGGTGATGAGAATAGTGTAATGACTGTTAGAATATTATTTAATAACAACTTAAAATTGTTGTGTATTCGTAAATGTAGAAATTTTTAACTATTCTAAATATTTTAAAAAATATGAAACAAAACTGGATAAATATGGATATGCCTTAAACATGAACGTTCAAGTAACAGACAGAGCCTTATAAAGAATGGGACAATCAAGTGGCAGACCCCTCCTCCTGCTTCCTGCAACGTAAATCCTCAGTAATTTAAATTCATGTTTCACTTATATCCTGGGGATAAAAGAAAGTTTCTATATTCAATTTCATAACTGGTGTAAAAAATATACAGAAATCACCTAAAAAGAGATGTGTGACAAAAGTCTTGTTAAAAATGTTATCTGGTAAAAGATACAAAGAATTGGTTGATACACATCATTTCTCATGCTATTAGAAAGAGTATATCAGAGAACTATAAAAGTGTTATGTATTATTCCATTACTGTTGACTGTATGCCAGACAGTATTAAAGTGGAACGGCTGTAAATTGTGCTGTTACATTTTGTGCAAGTTGAAGATAGTGGTGACATATGGATTACAAAGACTTTGCTGCCATCAGTTGAAAATATAGGACAGGAACATACTGAAACTTTTGTGTGTGAACTTAGGGAGTGCAGCATATCAGTACCAGGCAGAGCCTCTTTTGTTTCCGAACCGTCATACTTCAAGATCTGGTATTAATGATGAAGCTATGGCATGAAAAGATGTTATTTCATTTGTATGTGTAGTTCAACATATTTAGGTTTTCTTGGGTGCATCAAACCACTAATGGATTGTCTTACAGAAATATATGAACATGATCACATTGAAACTTATTAGTGATACTAGTTGAGGAAGCAGAATAGATGGTATTAGGTCAGTTACATTCACATCAAGTACAATACGTAATACACTGTATAAAATAAACGAAGAGGTGTCCTGCAATTCCCTTGACATGTGGCTGAAACATCAATATATCACATGAATTGTTCTAAATTTCAGTGTTATATAATTATTGGTACTACATTCTGAATGATGTGGATATGACCAGCAAAATTTTACAGGCAAAAAGTAACACTGGACATGCCAGAATCTGTGGATATCTTGAGACAAAAATTATGTATTTCTGTGACAGTTGTGATGAGCATTAAGTGCAAAATACACTATTGATGCAATAGAAGGTGTATTTTATGTTTAATTTAATGTAAACAATGCATCGGTAATAAAGGCATCTACTGTGATAAACATATTGAATGTCCTGAAACCAGGTTTAACTAACAAATTTCCATGGAATTTTGAATGTAACAGGTCTTCGGAAGAAAGGTTCTTCAGCAACAAATTTATAATAGTAATTTATATTTTTTTACAATAGCAACCATTTACAAATCATATCGCAAAAGGCTTCAAAAAACGGATTATGATTTTGCAGTTGTCAGGTCTACTTAGTGATAAAGTGATCCATAAGTTGAGTTTCTCCAAATTAAAAATGATAAAAAATTACTGGAGAACATCTATGTCTTAAGACTGGTTGTTTATACTTGAAATAATCTCATTTGAGAATAAAGGTGACATGAAATTTAAGCTTTACAGGCTCGTGATTTCGCCAGCATAAAAGTGAGGAAAATTAATTTAACCTGAAGTAGGAAAAAGAAATTTCTATGTGTTGAAGATTTTGTCATGTTGTATAAATATTTTGTTAGTAAATGAGGGGCATTTGCTGACTGTCATTCATACTGACATTGATTTAGGACCCCTTGCATTTCTGCTACAATGATGAGCATCCTTATCATAAGCTATCCAGAAATACATAAATATGGGACATATTTCATAAATCACAGACCCTGTATATCCCATATAAATATGTGCACTGCAGGATTTTCCACTTTAATTATGATTGTGCTCTAGGCATAGCACAAAAAGAGTTGGGGTATATTTGTTTGTTATTATGTGACGATCACAACAGATCATCATCGTCATAAACATGCAATTGCTGTTCCATGGGTCTTCTAATTCCAATGCATGTTTCACAATTGATATGACCAAGTGACACTGACTCCAACACAGTTTTTAGGAAGTTAGGTTGTTTTAAAATAGGGGGGAGGACAAAGGTCTTCTCATCTGCAGCAACATTTACACCTAAGCCTGCTCTGATGCAACTTGGGAAAGAACATATATTAATATTAGTGCATCTGCCAAA